TTGTGTGCCCTCACTGGGCTAAGGAAGCCCTTTACACATATTCCATCATTCAATCTGAGCCGCAACTGTAGGTACTGCTGTTATCCCCATCTTACAGGCGAGGAGGCACAGAGAGGTGAGGCAGCTTACCTAAGGTCACACAGCTGGTATGCAGCCGAGCCGGGATGCAGACCCAGTGTCAAGCTCAAGGTCTTTGAGGTCAAGCATGTTTTGCTTGTTGGCGGATCCCTACCAGACTCCCTGAGAATTCACAGAACACAGTCGTCCACAGGAGAAAAATCTACCCCGAGTTGAGTCAGGCAGGAAGTGGGAGGCAGGCGTGTGGCTATTTTGGAAAAGCGACATGAGAAACCATGAAACTTCCTACCTGTCCCGTTTTGCTCCCATCTGTCCTGGGAAACAAGGCTGCCCCTCTCTTAGATAAAAACGTGTCTCTCCCCACACAGCGGCTCTGCTGGTGGTGGTGGGAGCGAGCACTAAGCTTAGCACACGCTTGCTATTTTTAAAGGACTAGATAAACAAACAGGGCTATGTAAATAAGAAAAAAAAATGAGGTCATCCCTTTAAAATCTAAAAATGTGCTTCTTCTATGGGGGGAGTAGCAAAACCTCAGAGAGAACTGGTGCTTTTTTATCCCCAAGAGGCCTTCTCCAGCCCACAGCCTCTCCAAGCCAGCGGGCTCGCCCTTCCCTCCTTCACCCAGCGAGGGCAGGCAGGAGGCCTGGGAGGAGGGACTCCTGGCTTTTATTCCTGGCTTTGCCTCCATTGCCCAACCCAGTCACCACCTGCCCGGGGCCCCACCGGGTTACACACAAGCGTTGCCCATGCTCATGTGCCCTCTTCCTGCCCCAAGCTGGCTTGGCATGCTGATCCAGCTGACCTCTGCCTTCCTTCTCCTCTCCCCTGCCCCTTCCCCCACCTTGATCTGCTGAGTGGGCGCAGAGGCCCTTTGCATACTGATGAAAAGCTGGCTACATGCTCATCCCACCCCACTTACTCCTCTTCCAATATTTTAAACTTCCCCCACGTTCTTCTGGACTCGTCTTCCAAGCAGACGGCTGGAACTCATTAGAGGAGCCTCAGAGAGCTGCGTTGACGTCATCAACAATGGTTAGGAGACACCTTGACTTTGGCAAAAGCTCATGAGGAGGCTTCTCCATGCTTCCCGCACCCCCTTCCCGGTCACCTCACTTCTCTCCTCCATCTTTGACTGCCTCCTCTCCACCTTCGGATCCGTGGCTCCTCCGTTATCCGTAAGCACAGCAACAAGAACCACCAAAATCTGCCAAAGGGGCAGTTTTTAAGTTGTGTTCTATGGACACGTGTCAGGGGTCCCCCTCAAGTGTCCCATGAGATTTTATTCCAAAATACATTTGACTCCTAGTAAAGCCTCTAAGAAAAATGGACCTGCACCTGAAATCATGGTCCATGGCACAGGGTGCCCGCCGAGTGCAGCCGAGGGGTGCCGCTCAGCGTGGTGTGTGCTCCGGGCTAAGCCTGGGCAGATCTTGAACTCCAGTCTTGAAATACGTCTTCAGCTGGAAAGTTGAAGCTCTTTCCTGGGCTTCTTTCCATTGTTGTTTAAATTCAGGACTCTACATGCTTCCACAAACCACACAAACAAGATCTCTCTAAGGCTCTCAGCAATATGCAAACGTATTACACGAATTATCACAAAAATGCAATAAATGACTGCGTGCTTCCTGTCTGAGTGTTGTAATAAGAAGGAATTCAAGCAGTTGTCTGAAACTGTCAGTGATGCAAACCAGAATTCCCTTCCCCTTCCCGAACGTCCACACAACTGTGAACTGAAGACTGTCCTGGGCTGCAGGTGAGTTGTTAGAACCGGCTGCCATTCACTGCCTCTTGCTGATAGGACTTATCAACTTATCAAGTTTTCCCGGCCCTGTGCAATCCAGCCAAAACAAAGACGAAAAGGCGGTCCTGGATGTTACAGCTGCTATAGCATCTAGAACACAGGCCAGCAAACTTCCAGAAAGGGCCAAATAGTATTTCTGTCTTTGTGGGACAGTCAGTCCCAACCACTCCACTCTGCTGAAGAGCAGCCAATATGTGAATGAGTGGCATGGCTGTGCTCCAATAACATTTAATTTACCATGATCGGGCTGTAGTTTGCTCAGCCCCATCTGGACCCAAGCTTCCAATGCGTTCATGCATCGGAGTCATTGTTCTACTGATGGACTGTGGTAATAAACAGGTGCTAAAATTTCTACTTTATAAATAAATGTGTATTAATAAACGACCACTTTAACCCGTTTTGTGTTATTGGCATTCCATGCAGGATTTGACGTGTGAAAAATGGCTCCTAAGACTACAAAAGTTTGCAAACGACTAGCACGGAGCTTTGCTGCTGAGAAAATGCTTTCATGTCCATTTTCAAATTAGGTTCGCTCTCTAGTCACTTATTCGGAAATCACATTCATTCCGAAACGAGGTCCTTACTAGAGGAGGGGCTCTGACGCCACATTTCAGATGGTGTCAAAGGGTCTCTCAGCACAGGGGGTCCACGAGGCCATGGAAGGCTGGCACGCGGCAGGCTCCTGCCTGGCACACCTGCCTGGCACACCTGCCCGGCCTGAGCCTTCCACTCATTCAGACACCGTGGATTCCAGCCCCTTCCTGGTGGCCAGGGAAGCTGGGCCAGCAGTGGGCCATGCATGCCGGGCACTCCAGAAGCACTGAGTCAGCATCCCATTAATCACAGATGCTTTCATTCCCTCGGGAGAGCACAGGAAGGGGTGGGGACCAGACTTCTTGCTGGAACTGACAGCTCACTTCCCTCTGAGCCAGTCCCATCCTCCACAGACTCTTCCCTGCAGCTGGCAGAGCCATGCGGGGACAAAAGGACAGTTTGGAGATGACGTGGGGAGGGCACATGCCAGGTCTGGGGAGGATTCCTCCTTGGCACTGCCCAGGACAGCTGCCCCATGCTCTGCCTGCTTCACTCAGCGGTTTCTCAGGTACCCACTGCACCCCTAGCTGATAAGCCCAGCTCTGCCCTGAGACTGGCCATAGGGGAGACCCATGATCTAACCGTGATATGTGCAGAGGAAATAAGAGGAAATAAATGCTAAATTGGGACCCCAGGAGAAGTCATGCCAGGATGCCGAGGAAGCAGGGCCCATTTATTCCAGCTCTACTGATGCCTATGACATGTAGACATTCCTGTGGGGGTGGGGGGCATCCTTGAAGCCGGCACAGCCCCTCAGGAAACAACTTGGTGGAGAAGAAGCGCTGGGTCTTTTGTAACCGGAGGCTCTGTTCCTTGTTAGCGGTGTGACTATCTGTAAGTTACTGCACCTCCTTGTGCTTTTCCTCATTCCCATGAAAGGGGCAATGGAACCAGCTGCGCTGGGTTTTCTGCAGGACCTAGGCTTGTCTGTAAAATGTAGAGTGTCAGGGCCTACATGCTGTGCCAGGCCTTCCTTCACCCTGACTCTCAGCAACTCAGGCACTGGGATCCAAGGCCAGAGTCTGATAGACACCTCACAGCACTGCTCCTGGCAGGATGGGGTGGCGGCCCAGTGGCCTGTGAGTCAGAGGGACCGCTCATGTCTGGGGAGCCCTTGCTGTATGTCTGCATTGTTCTCACCTGTATTTCACAGCAGTCCTGTGAGGTAGGCACCACAACTTGCCTATTTTATAAGCGAGAAAGATGAGGCAGAGAGACTGAGCAGCGGCTGGGGCTGGGACTGGAGCTTGGGGAGACCCAGAGCCTTAATTATTAAGCACCATGTCAAACAGCCCTCTCAAAATGAGGCTCAATGCCCGGGCCTTCCTCTGAGTCCAGGGGATGATTCCTTCCCCTCCGCTGGGAACCGTGCTCATGGCCTCGTCCAGTGGGCAGAGGCCTGGGCCTGGCACCCGCAGTTCAGGCTACAGCGATGCCATCTCTGAGCGTTGCCTAAGCCTACTCTCCTCTCCACCAGAAAACTTTTGCTTGGAGGAAAGGGGATGCTGACCACGTACTGGGCTGGGAAGCAACCCCTGGGGCTCAGAGCCATGTCCACAGGACTAGCATTCCAGAGACCCCGTAGGAGGCCCAGAGGCCAAATCTTGGCTGTATCAGGATCAAAATACAGGTCTCTGTACCCTCACCCCTCAGACAGTCTGATTCAAAGAGCATTGGTGGACCAGGAGTCAACTTTTTTTTTTTTTTTTAACCAGGCACTCTTCCCCCTCTCCCCCCTCCCCCAACACACACACACACACACACACACACACACACACACACGCACTCCTCTATCTTTGGCAATTCTGATGCACCCACAGCCAGACAAAACATCCAAGACATATTTCCAACCCAGTGAGCTTCTACAGCGCACACCTAACCGGAACTTCTAACCTGAACCCATCACATACCTAAAGAACAAAAAGGAAATCACACTCACACTCACACACACATCCTAATGCTGGGGCGCTTCCCAGGCCAGCTCAGTCAGTATCTTTGGAGCTGGGGCCCAGCTACTGGAACTTAAAGGAATTCTCCAGGTGATTCCAACGTGCAGCCATGGCCCTGGACCTGACATCCTTTCAACTCTTAACAAAGGGGTGAGAAGAGAGGGTATCAGTCTTCAGCACCCACTGGGCTCCTCTGACCAGAGAGTGGGTGACATGGATGGGGATGGGGTGAGGCAAAGAGGTGATGGAACTCTGGAGAGCAGGACACAATGGGGCTGGCGGGTGGGGAAGCTGTGCTCCTAGGAGAAGAGGGTTGCCAGGGACAGAATGGAAACTGAGGAACTGGGGACCCAGGACTACACTTGGGGGACACAGCATGAGGCAGTGCAAGAGTGCCTGCACTCAAGGTCTCTACTCCTGGCCAAGGAAGTCCCCAGAACATCTGGCTATCATAGAGGCTGAAGGCAATAGCAACAACAAAAATAATACATTACAAAGCGGATGAACCCTAGAAAGCTTATGCAAGAAAAACCCAATGGCTCCCCAGCGAGTGTTTTCAGCACCCACCCGTTTCTTACCTGTGCTGCAGGCACCACTTTCGATGACCAAAACTGAAACGCCGTTCTCGTTGAAAACCAGCATTCATGTCCACTCCTGTGCCTCCCTCGCTCACGCTCTGCCCTTCCCTCTCCACGGGAGAGCTTGCCTGGACAGTATTTCTTGTGGCTCCTCCATGAACTAGTTCGAGGCTGCCTGGTTTGTGTCTCGAATCCTGCAGGGGCAGTTGAAACACAGGGTCAAGGAGTTTGCTTGGTCAACGTCTTTAGATACAGAGCAATCTCTACCTGGTCCCAGGGGGCCCAGCCCCCCAGCTCCTCCCAGGCTGCTTGTCTTGGTGCAGGGCTAGACCCCCGGTTCTCCAGGGAAGACGGTGTAGCCTGGCGGCCACCTTATACCAGCTCCTCCTGACATCCCTGAGCCATACCTCTTCACCGGTAGAGTAGGCAGGTTCAGGGCAGGAGCTGGACAGTTACTGGATGAATGGATGAATGAGTGAGCATCAGTTTTCAGTAATCAACTTGCCAGGTTGTTGTCAGACTGAATAAGAAATTGGAGAGAAACCTGAGTTGTCTCAGTGGAGTATGGGGTGGTGTGTCACATCCACATTGCTCACGCGGGACTGCACTCTGGTCTGCCTGCTGGAGGCAGAGTGTTGTGACGATGACGATGTGGCTTATGGGGCCGGGATACATGGGTTCAAGCCCTAGCCCTTCTATTCATTACCTCTGCGGTTCTGGGATATGGCGTAGCTTTGCTGTGTCTGAAAAAGAGGGGCTAAGAATGGCAAGTACCTCCAAGGTTTAAATGATTCAGCCCCTGTAGAGCAAGCATGACAAACTCAGAGGCTAACATGGGCCAAATAAAAGAGTCATGCGGCCCCCCAGCCTCGAGTTTGACATGCTTGCTGTAGAAGGCCTGGCCCAAGCCTGGCCCGTGGACTGGCCCGTGTAATTGCTATGGATACTATCACTGCCCCAGAGTGGGCCGGCAATCTATTTCCGGAGTAGCATGCATCCAGGCCTCGGCCTTGCCACCTTCCTTCTCCAGGGCACCACACTCCTCACTGGCACAGCCTACAGATCGCTACGGACGGATGGGTAATCGAAGTCCTCTGCCGCCAGCCCCACACTTGCTGCTCTCACACACAGCCGGCCGTGTCCCACCCACACACCAGGATAGCAGCAGGCCACCACGGAGTGCGGCTGCACTTGCTCAGCGGCTCCTGATCACCGCCTCATCCTGCTGTCCAAGCTCTTCACACCCACAGTCTCCCACCCTCCCCAGATCCGACCTCACACTCTCCACTCTGTCTTAATTCTTACTAAAAATGTCTATGCTCGATCCCTCCTGGGAGAGAAACACTGACTTCTCAGAACATGCCATTCTATAAGCCATCTGCCCACAATTTCCCACCTTCGAGGCTTTGATAGAATGCTACTCCCTCCCCCCATGGCCATGTCTATAACCACCCGGTCAGATCCTGCCCTTCCTCCCTCAAGACGCACTCAGCTCCCCCAAACTGGACACAGGTCTCGCCTCCCCGGAGCACCCAGAACACAGCTGCTGTGCATTTCGAGATCAAGGACAGTGGCCCCAGGAGTCTGGCATCTCGTGCAGATGCACACAGCTTGGCGGGGTCAGTCTGACTCACCCCCCTACCCCTAGAGCCTGGTATGAGGCCTCGAACACAGTCAGGGTAGAGCACTTCTCTCTAGAAGCTAATTCGGTTATTCATGTAACAGCTTATTTGGGTCAGGCCTGGCGACAGCTGCTGAGAAGACAAGACAGCAAAGATTCTGCCTTCAAGGGGATCACATTAGGGGTCAGTGGTCACGAGGTGCATGCCAGTGTCCCTGGCTCTAAGCTACCCCATGGCGAAGACAGAAAGAAGAGAGTAGTCCATTAAGATGGCGCCTGAGCATGTGACAGAAAGAGAAGAGGCTATTTCAACTGAAGGGAGCCGTGTAAGGAGACAGGAGACCCCCAAATTGGCCAAATGTGTAAGAATTGCCTGCTGTCCACCGGCAGGAGGTGAGGGGCAGTGATAGCTCACAAGGGGTGAGTTGGGCCAGGGAAGAACTTGATATATGAGATAGCCTGGACTTGATCTACTGCAGTGAGGTCACTGAATTGTTTTGGTCAGTGAGGTAATGCAGACAGACCAGGGGCGTGGCTCACAGAGAAGATGGGATGAGGTGGAAGGAGGGAGCCACCGCTCTCCCACCCACCAGGGAGGCCACGATCACCTGAATGCCACGCCTGGCCTCCCGTGGCCGGTGGGAGAGGCTGTGGACACGCCTGTATCTCCACCACCCTGAACAGTTACACACATCTGAGGCTCCACCCCGGAAACTAAGCCCGTTTGTTTACCTCTCCTCCAAACCCTGCTGAAATAGAGAGAAATGTAGAATAAGAACAGACCCATCATAGCGCCAGCTGATCAGCAAGCCTGAGGAAAAGCAGACGGGTGGCAGTGACAGAAAATCTAATCAGAGCTGAGCCAGCCTCGCCCAACAAGGGCAGGGCAAGGCCCAGCTGCCAATACCCAGGAGGCTCCCTCAGAGGCAGCAGGAGCCAGGGCAGGGCAGGCTGATGGAACCCCTGGAATCCAAGGATAATGAGTGAATCCTTCAAGTTTCCAAAGAAACTAAAGTGGGGTGGGGAGGGAGAGCAGTCATCACCTGACCTCACACTGTCTTCATTAGCATGCCTTTCCTCTTCCAGGTGACTAGCCCCAGCAAAGGGCTTGATTGTATGTTACAGAAACCTTGTGAAGACCCATCAGCTCTTCAATTAGTAGTTTGTGCCCTGCCTCAGCTGCGTGGCTCAGCTGGTTGGAGCATGGTCCTGCACACCAAAGGTTGTGGGTTCGATTACAAGTCAGGGCACCTACCGAGGTTGTGAGTTTAATCCCCGTTCAAGGTTTGTACAGGAGGCAACCAATCAGTGTTTCTCACATTGATGTCTCTCTCTCTTCCCGCCTCTCTCTCCAAGAATCAATAAACATATCTTCTAGTGAGAATTTTTTAAAAGTGTGAATTAATTGAATTCCTTTGCTTTGCCTCAAAAAATTCCCCCTCCTTTTTTCTAACGCTTCCACGTACCCCATTTTAGGGACTTCCAATCAGCAAATCCCCCACCTCACCCTGTTCCTCCAGACATAAGGCTCCGGCTCCATGGAGAGCAATGAACTTAGCTTCATCTCTGACAGTCTCTACAGAAACTTTGAGAATCAAGTTGACATTGGACTTGACATCGTATCACCTACTGCTGGAGGGCAACAGAGCAAAGACTACAGAGCTCTGAGGAAAGAGTTAAACCCCGAGATCCGTTACTCAGCCAAGTCTCAAAGCCAAAGAGAGAAGTACTAAAAATAGCATGCCACCCACTTATCTGAGCAAGATTACTCAAGGAATTACTCCAACCAAATAAAAGCTGTATCAGAATAAGTCATTCAAGAAAGGGCAAGACAGGATACACAGGAAGCAATGATGAACAATAAAAGCAGAAACACGTATAGTCAGATCTAAACAAATGTTGATAATAATGGTCTCATCTTGTTGGGAAATAGACACCATTTAATTCTTAACAGTAATAGAGATGCATGGGCTTTTATTTTTCATTTAAGAGTAACCATTTCTAGAAGAAAAGTAAGTTATAGGCCTTTTCAACTACTGTGTGTGCAGGAAGGAGGGGAGAAACAAAGAAAATTCAAGTAATTCAGTAAGAGTTAGGAAAGGGAAAACTAGACAGGAATGAAGACAGTATCATTAAAAAAAAAAGAAGACATGAAATAAGATAAAGAAAGTCCACATACATGAATAAACACAAGAATGTGAATAAATTAGCCGAAACCGGTTTGGCTCAGTGGATAGAGCGTCGGCCTGCGGACTGAAAGGTCCCAGGTCCAATTCCGGTCAAGGGCATGTACCTTGGTTGCGGGCACATCCCCAGTGGGGAGTGTGCAAGAGGCAACTGATTGATGATTCTCTCTCATCAATGTTTCTGACTCTCTATCCCTCTCTTTTCCTCTCTGTGAAAAATCAATAAAATATATATTTTAAAAAAAGATAAAGAATGTGAATAAATTAAATCACTCTACACCCCCAGCCACATGCTGTTTGGAAGTGACGCAGTTAAAGCAAATTAACACAGGAAGATTCAAAGCAAAGACATGGCAAAGTGCAGAATTGGCAAAATGGTGACAATAAGAAGGCAGGAAAGTCAATATCAGCCAAAATGCAAAAATGTCAGATAAAATAAAAGGGGGCATTTGACATTGCTAGGTCTATTTTTTCCAGGAAGATACAAATATCATGAACCTTTACTTTCACCCTGGACAACAGACCCATAAAAACATATGAAAAAATACCTTCTCAAAACAAGAAGATGGCAAAACAACAGTGCAGGCCGACCATGTTACTCAAGATTTGATGGTACAAGTAACCTCCAGTGAGAACTGTGGAGAAATTTAAGGTAATTAGGAAGCCTAACTTCATATGCATTCAAGAACAGAGAAAACGCCCTTTTCTCAAACGTCCTTGTACTGGATGCCAAGAAAATCTCAAATTCCTATACATACACCACAGTCTTCAGTTCTCAGTGCAGTAGAATTAGGAATGACCAAGAAGTAAAAATTTTTAAAAAAGTAACCTGTGTCCATGACAACTTAAAAATGTTTTTTTAAGTAACCCTTGCATCAAATAGGACAGCAAGACTGAGATTGTAGATTATGTGTAAATGCCCAACAGTAAGAACCCTACTTTTAAAAATCTGTGGAATACAACCAAAGCTTCATTTAGAGGAGGAAAAAAACAACACCACCTTAAATGGTTTTATGATAAAATACGGTGGAAACTCAGTGAATTAAGCATCTAAACCGAGAAGTTGAAAACGAATAAATTAAACAAAAATGACCTAGAAGGAAGAAATGAATAAAGTTGAAAACAAAAACACACGATAATGAGGAAAGTCCGGCAGCTGCACTAATAGAAATATTAAGCTGCGCCAGGACCGGTTTGGCTCAATGGATAGAGCGTCGGCTTGGGGACTGAAGGGTCCCGGGTTCGATTCCGGTCAAGGGCATGTACCTTGGTTGCGGGCATATCCCCAGTAGGGGTGTGCAAGAGGCAGCTGATCGATGACTCTCTCTCATCGATGTTTCTAACTCTCTATCTCTCTCCCTTCCTCTCTGTATAAAATCAATAAAAT